TTTTTTTTTTTTTTTTCAGAAGTCAAATTAGAAATTTATCCCCATAAAAAATGATTCCTGAACCAAAAACAATTTTCCTAAAACATGAAAGAAACTTTTAAAATCCTACAACAGTTCTACAATTATTTTAGATTAAACTTAGGTGCTTTGCTTGAAATTTCTTTATCATATTCAGTTGTTTTGTACCCCTTTAGATGAATATTTTTATTTAGCTTAAGTAAATTATGTAATAATTAATTCTAGTTCCAAATGAAGAATTGAAAACTGTCAACAGCTTAAAATACTGCTAGGCATATTTCTGAAACAAACAAAAATTTCTTTCAGAGATGACTGAATGGTAGTTTTGGTGCTTTTGATCACTCTCCCACTTTTTACATTCCCAAACATTGGCTGTACTTGTTTTACAGTAAAAATAGGTTTGGTCTTCCTGAAACTCTATTTTCACTGGAGCACAGACTGTGAATTAAAAAAAAAAAAAAGTGCTGAGATCTATCTAAGATATTTTAATTCACCTGATATCTGTAATTTATTGTATTCAATCACCATCGTAGTTTTTCTTGTAAGGTATTAAGACCATGTAGAGCACAGTGAAAACAGCCATAAATCATGCAGACAGTTCCCAAATGAAGAGTGCTTACCTTAATCATCCAGTACCAACCAGAGTAAATGTCACTAGCTGATAGTAGAAAATGTGTATCTTATCTCCTCCATCATTAGTGTGTATAAGAGAAATGAAGTTTTCTCATTGTGAAATTGCTGGACCATTTTCTTGAATTATTGATAACTTTTCATTGTTATGCATTTGTAAGATAAATCATGGGTAACATATCCTTTAGCTTTTGTAAGTTCACAGATGCTAAGCTCAGAAAATATCACTGCAATAACCCACATTCCACCTCCACATAACACCCTATTCTCTGGGCTATGACTTCAACATGCATTTAAGGAAGGTTCTCAATCCTTATTTAATGACTTCAAGTGACAAGGAAAACCACCACAGCCCTTGGTAAATTATTTCAATTAACTGAGGTTATTTGCCCTCAGCTAAAAATGAGCACTTTATTTTTTCTTTGAATTTGCCCCGTCTCAGTCTCCATGCTATGTTATTTCTTCATCTGTTAGATTAAAGTTCCCTTTAATAGAGTATTATAACTCTTTTTCCTGTGTAGTTCTTAAACTGTTTTATTAAATACTATCTATTTAAAAATACAAATTCCAAAATAACCAGAAAATACTGCTTGCTACCTGCAGCTCTTGAGAAGATAGCCTTTCAGAGCAATAGATTCAAATTTTGTTTTTCATGTAATTTTACTGCTAATTCTCAATGAAAATTTTTTGTCTCCCTGCATTGTTCCATAAATTTAGCAGTTGGTATGTAATCTATCATCAGAGTATCACAAATTGTAATTGAGTTGCTTCCCATCCCCCAGCTAAATAAGCATTATTTAGTAGCTTAAATCCCTCAAAATAGAGGGAACTTTTTTCTGCCAGGTGTTCCTTCAAATTAACAATGTATTTTCCAAATGTGGACACTCAGAAAAAAGTTGGTATTTCAGCCATAACGTTAAAAGATGTAACAGCTGGTTTCTTAGATCAACTGTAAATGTTGCTTCTTAATCCTCTTCTCACAGATTGCAGAGATGGCTAAATGGACCCTCGAGTCTGCCTCCTGGGAAGCCTTCCTGTGTCACACTGACACTGAAAGAAGTCTGCACAGTTTTAGGGCTGGCACCCTGTGGCCTTTCAGAATAAGATGATTCCTAGCCTTCTCTGACAAAGCCCTTCTTTGCACGACCCATTTTTATTATTAGACCTTCCCTGTGCTCAGCTTCAGTTCCAAATACTTCAGTCCTAAGCCTCAGGCAGTAAAAGTGTGAAACTCCATACTGGATTGTGACAAACGGGTTGTTATTGCTTTGAAGAAATATGTTTTTGTAGCAGTTGTGCAATAGGTTTTTACCTCCAAATTAATTATCAACTAGGGCAATCACTAAGTGTGTATTTACTAATGTCAGAGGACAGAGGTTTCTCATAAATGCTCTGTATCTATATATCAATTACCAGGGAAGCAAGTATACAACTACGAAACACTCCATGAAATCAAAATTAATTTTGAAAAATTATTTTGTTTGTTTGTTTGCATGCATTTTCTGCTTCACTATCAGAACTTACATTTCACTAGTAAATGATAAATATTTACACCTACTTGCCACTTTTTTTTGGATAGCAGTATTTTTATGGGAGGAAACCAGCAACCTTTGTATTTACAGAGAACGTTCTTCTTTAAATATCTAATTTTCTTTTTATATTTGAGCATTGCCTTCCACTTCTATTAAATCTTGTGAATGCAGTGACACAGAAAAGACATAAGTGCTGGATCTATTCTTCTTTTCCTCTTGAAGACTTAGTGTAAGTACTTAATGTTGGCGACAATTAGTTTGATTTGACTGTACTCAATTAAGTAGGCATCACCCAATTAAGAAATTCATGTTCACGAAAAAGATTCAGATGATCATTAGTACCTTGTTTGTAGCCATGATTTGATATATCAATACCACGCGGTACAGAGCTTTAATGATTTATGACTTTTCAGTTTCTTCTGCTGAAGAAAAACTGCTTGAGAAGGGCTGCTGACTCTATTACGACTCAGTAGCTTTGGGGGTTTTCACATTCTTTCTGCTCACTCCTCGGTGCTATTTCTCATGTACACTCTAACTAACGATGTAATCTTTTACGAGGTAATCAGGTTCTCTTGGCATTTGTTTTCAAGGCAGAAACACGGGTTAAAAGCAGAGCCAGGGCCAGCTGCGTTGGGTGGGCAGGTGTTTTCCTGGTAACCACCCAGCGCCGGGGAATTTAGTGTGGGGTGAACATGGGCCACCCCTCTGATCCTGTTAACCGTTCCCTTGCTATAAGCTTCTTCTGTCTAGGTAATTTTGGTAGAAAGCATTCTGAATTATTCGTGTTGCCAGAGCATCTTGAGACTCTCGATGCAGCCCCTAGGAGTATGTAAGTATGGTCTGGCTGCACAGAAGGACATGAGTTCTAGGCTCATTCCATAAATTCTGGTGTGTGAAATGTAATTTCGAACAAGCACTCACACGTGGGAGACAAAAACCGGCTTATTGTCCACAGTGCTAATTTTAGAATTAGTTTTTTGCTTTGCATACTTAGGAAATGGTTTTCCTCATTTTCATGACTGGTAGAATGAGAAAAATAAGCCAATTTTGAAAAGCTCTCCAAACCCAACACTCCAAAATAGGTTTCAGGCTTCTAGATTAATTTTTTTTCATTAAATATATTTTTTTTTATTTTCTAGTGTATTAACTATGAGAAATTATGCACTGCCTTTTCTCTATCATCATTCAAGCTTAGTGGTAGGAAATTCTCAAGCTAATTTTTTTGATAGATTAAAATATTTAGATGTTTGATTTTTTATGTTGTTCTTACATCTCTTGGTTTCAGGTATGTGAAGCTGAATACATCTGCTACCATCCACAACTTTTCTTAATTGGCTGATACCACTTCATTCACATAATGTGATGAAAGACTATCCCTCCCCTTGGAGACTATTCATTTGGTTCTGACATTGCTTGTATTTTTTGAAATAATTATTGGCTATTTGTGTTTTTACAGCTAGTGTTTTCCTGTTCATCCACTTTTTTTCCCAAAATGGCCGGATAAAGGTGGGTGCAGGCAAATATCAAGGTGTGTCACCAGCCCAAGTTAGATCTACTTATTCAGTGGCCAGAATTAATCGACAAACCAGCAAAAAAAGGATTTTACTGCAGCCATTTATGTTAGCAAATGCTGTATGAATGAACCACGAAGAATTGAACAGGCAAGACCAGATGCACTATTTAAACGGATTAGGTGGGCCAGTTAACTATTATTAGAAGCCATTGCAATTCATTTAATTGAATTGTTATTTTGGCAGTGATCCTAAGAAGCAGACATTTAATTGCCCAGAATGCCTGTGATAGGTAAATGATTTCAAACTAAATACAATCTACTTCTAATGTGTTCTGCGGTTCCCTTAAGCATGAACCATCCTTACACTTTCCTTTTTTTAAAAAAGATATGAATAGAGTCATGGAATGGAATCATAGAATGGTTTGGGTTGGAAGGGACTTTAAAGATCATCTTGTTCCAACCCCCTGCCCTGGGCAGGGACACCTCCCACCAGACCAGGTTGCTCCAAACCCCATCCAGCCTGGCCTTGAACCCCTCCAGGGATGGGGCAGCCACAGCTTCTCTGGGCAACCTGTTCCAGTGTCTCACCACCCTTACAGCAAAGAATTTCTTCCTGATATCTAATCTAAATCTTCCCTCTTTCAGCTTAAAATCATTACCCCTCGTCCTATTGCTCCATTCCCTGACAGAGTCCCTCCCCAGCTCTCCTGTAGCCCCTTCAGATATTGAAAGGCCGCTAGAAGGTCTCCCCGGAGCCTTCTCTTCTCCAGGCCGAACAATCCCAACCCTCTCAGCCTGTCTTCATAGCAGAGGTGCTCCAGCCCTCTGATCATCTTCATGGCCCTCCACTGGACCCCTTCCAACAGGTCCATGTCTTGAAAAGCACTGATTTTACTGCTTTTGTTGAACCTGTGGCGTGCTCTAGGGAAGCCTGAGAGAGCAAGTGTGAAGAGTAAGACGACATGTAAGGAAAGGTGTGACACTTTGCCAGGGAAAACTTTGGTACTTGGTTAAATTAATAAGCCAGGTTTTCTACAGTAACTCTTGCCTAAATAGAAATGTCTCAAGAGTGTGAATAAAAGGTTTATTACATAAATTGGGATTTATAGTTCTCCACAATTTAGAATTTTTTTCAAAACGGTGGAACTCGTGAAGCTTACTATCATGATGAATTGGAAAGTTACGGTCTTCCTACATTTCACGGATGGCTAGAGTTCAGCTAAAAGGAATGAATTAAATGTTTGTGGCTAAGAGACTTTCTGAATTGTTAATACATTTAACACTTCAATGTTTAAAAACTCCAACAGGTCAAAACACCTCAAGCCTGGAACTGTATCTGGAATCCCCTGCGGGCTTCATGAGATGATTAGCCAGCATCCATGTGAGGTGCTGTGTTGCTTCCCTGATGCTTGCAGCCATGTCATTGGGCTGAGGGAGCTACAGGGGATCCAACGGGACTCAGAAGAACAACAAGAAGGAGGGAGAAATCAGCGGAGCATGGAGGTCTGTGTGCTGTTGAGCTACCTTCTAGGAAAAGAGGACTGGTGTCTATTTTCAGGATGGTATCTGTGTTTTACATTCAGCTAACATCACCTGCAGAACCAGAAAACCTTGTACAGAAGCAATCTGCACCTGTCCTTTCTGAGAAAGATGGACTAATTACTTGCTACCCCTACATGCTAATTGCTGGGGTTACGCTTGCCTCCCAGAATCTTAATGTTCTTTTAACACAGCTTCAAAACCAGAAGTAACCCAGCCTGTTGTCCAGAAAAATATTCTCCATTACATGTTTTGAACCTTGTTTCGCTGAGGAAGGAATAAAATCACTGTTCATATTCATGTAAGACATCTCTACTCACCTGAGTGCTGAGCAAAAGACACATGAGGCTTTTAAAAAAATTATTACAAATAATAATTTTGCTTCCTTTCAGATCACTAAACCTGCAAGTAATTTTTTGCTTGAATGAGCAAATGAGGGGTTAGGCATTTTCCATGTGAACTGTTTTTGAAGCTTTCAGCCCTTCTTTACCTAATTTAAAGAGTGCTGAAAATGAACTGACACACCACCCACAGCATCCCTGTCACAAAAGTAGCTCATGTCCGCTGGTTTGAAGGCCTGGAACACCACAGAAACTGGTACCATGTGAAGTGAAATTCAGTCTCTTTCGGGAGATCAGCAAAAGGACTTCTTAGATTTCGTTATGTATAGATACCCAAGCCTCCTCCTGCTGTGCTTTGCATTCACAGATCTCAATGTGCTCCTTGGAAAGTGGGCAATTTCCAACCTGAGGGAACCGGCTTCTGCTTTAAACTTCACAGCTGGCTGTGCTGGGAAGCCCGTGTTCAAAGCAAAAATAAGCATCTGTTTGAACAGTGTATATGTGGCTTGTAACAGAAAAAGGGAAAGAAAAATGTAGGTTAAGAGTTAAGCCAAGCTGAGACTTAACGTGGGCATTTGTTTGTTGATTGTTGACAGGAATTGTACAGATAGAACTTTGTCGCGTAACGAGCCCTTCTGAGGAAACTGTGCCCTAAATACCAGTGTTTGCTTGCAATTGTTTGTACGAGTTTACTGAGAATAACAAAAAATTTGGCCCCTTTAAGTGGCAACAGTAAATTATATACGTTCACTGACACTTGATTACTTTATGCTAATCGGTTTAGTAAGTACCAATTATATCCCCAAATGGTTTTCTGAATGTTAACATATCAGCTACATTCCTCATTTTCGTGTGTATTTTGTAGTTAGAAAATGAAGCAGTAAGATTTCTCTTTCATACCTATTAGTCATCATTACATTCTCTAGTAAAATGGTATTTCAGATGTAATGATATTTGCAAACGTATTTAGATGGAGGTTCTTAATATTAATACTAAGTATTAACCCATTATATTCCTCTAGGTAGAAGCATGTGTAGAAAAAAACATGAAGGATAAAAAACATCAGATGAAGTTATGAACAGAAGGTGTTTTATACAATTTTCTATAGATAACATTAACTAACATTGACTAATTAACAGAAGTCTAAAGGTTTTATAATGACCTTAGCTATTGATAGAGCCTAATTCAACTCTGGAGCCATTTAGTAATGCATCACATTAGTGGTTCCTCAGAACAGAAGTAGTCTGTTGGTATTACTATAGATGCTTGGATGTGATGAAGATTTTTCTGCTGAAGAATAATATTTTGTTGAAACTGAAAGTCTTGCAGGAATATGTCAAACCCCATGAAAATACAGAAAGAAATGTAAAACCAAATTGTTTTTGAACTGGCGTTTGGAAATGAAATGACAGTCTTCATTTAGATTCACATGGAGCTTTGCTTCATTTTAGATAAAAATAAAGCAAAACAAACCCAAGTATTTTGTGTCAAAATGTTGATATGAAATGGCAACGATCAAACCTAGACTTCTTATGCCCATGTTCTGCTTAACTTCAAGTACTGAAATACCTAGTGTCCCCCTTGACTGTTCTGGAAAACACTGTGCGTGCTTAACACCCACAAACAGCTGAAAAGGAGCAGCATTTTGCTTGTGCAAGTATTAAAAACATATATATCTGAAAACAATATGTACCTATTGTGCATATGATGAAGCAGATGAGGCTAGCTGTAAGTGAATTTGTTTGCACTCCCACAGGCGTGTAGCTGCAGCAGAACTGAGCACTATACGAATTAATTTATCCTATTTTCAGGCTGCTTGGTAGCTTTTGGCACCCGTGCTTGTGTATTTATGGCTGTCCTGAGGTTGCACACCCTGCATGAGAGTACGCAGCACGGGCATATATCTTTATTCAGTGTTTTTAAATATGAGAGTAGCTGCTACTCTGGGATGTCAGCTGGTTATCTATTAGAAAGCTGGCATGGTGAATGCATGCTGTGGAATTTGCATTACTATCTTAAAATCCTACGTGATTTATTAGATTAAAGGACATTGTTAGGTTAAATCAACCCTCTATTCTTCATGTCTTTGAATTGAACAATTTGAATTTGTTTTCCATTTGAGTTGGCTACTTTTTGCTTTTATGTTAAGCTCTCTTTCTTTGCCTGTAAAAATTCCATGCTGTATTTGCAGCAGGATGGGGAGCCTGTAAAATGCTTTGTGCCCCTTCTGTGTTGAGCAACTGCAACATTTAGAACTGTAGCTAAATTGAAATCCGATGAAAACTAAGTGCAAATATCCTCTCCCCTTCCCTTTTAAAGAAACTGTGGTATTTCTTGGGTCTACGATAACTTGAAAATCATTGCTTGTCATAACACTTCTTACACTACTTAGAAGTTGTCTCCCGATTTTTCTTTGGCTTTGGTCTTTGAAACTGCTAAAGCATGCATCAGTGGAGAAATAATCTCTTTTCTGTTGTTTCCAAAAAGGTGGTGTAACTGAAAATTACTGACTGAAGGGGGGGGAAAAAATCAATATCCTCGAAAAAAAAAAAAAAGTGCAACAAAGTCTAAAATTAAAATGTACTGAAGCAGATTTGATATAGTACATAGCAAGCTCGGGCTAAATGGGCTGTTGCCAAATCTGGATATTACTTTCTTTAGGACAAGGAGAATCTATTTTGAATTCTGTGATCAAGCTGGCAAAAGCATAACTCATCATAATGTTAAAATAATAACAAGCTTAGTGCAAGACAGCAGTGTAGCAACTGGTGATGCCTGCTAACATCTTCTTACCAGACAGATGATCTGTTTGGTAAACTGGGCACTGAATAAGTACTTGCAAAACCTAATGTCTGTGATGAATCCTGCTGTTAGTTGTCTTTGTGGTCTTGAGTGTGTCACTCCTTGGCTGCTCTTCCTACCTGTTTTTATGTCTTAGTTATATAGGTAGTAAACTCATTGGAACAGTGCCCATCTCTTACTTAAGGGATCTCTTTATCTTAAGAGTGAGACCCTTGGTTTGTCCTCTGGCCATTCAAAATCCCACCCTGATTTTCTCTGTAAAACTTTTTGTGCCTCCCCAGCTTTTTGGGGTCTTGCCTGTTCCTCCCACCCGCTCTCCCCTGCTTCAAGGGCTGCAGTGATTTTAGAGCCAGCAATATCAGGAGGGTGTTTCTGAGCTCCTGTTGTGCTGCACAAGCCTGACTTGTGTCATTGTCAATGTGTTTTGGTGCTCAAGCACGTATTTTGATGGCTCCCTTGCATGCATATTTGTTTCCAGAGCTGAATAAGTCAGAGCCTTTCTCAGTGAAATAAATCAACAAGAAATCAATGTAAAGAGAACACTCGGGTCTGGCCAGGCTGTTTCTGGTTTTCCCAAAGTGCATATTTTATGTCTAAACTGTAAAGCTGAACGGATTTATGACAGCTCTGAAACAAAGACAACCAATTGCCAAGGAAGTTTGTAATTAAGCAATGTTTAATGATCTGTGGGGCTTTCAAATATTTTTAAATTCAGTAAGATTCTGACATTTATCTTGCATCTCACTGTTACAGAAAAGCTAACAAGTTTTGCTACATTCTGTAGGATTTTTCCATGCAGGGAAGATTAGATTTCTGTTTGTGACTAAACACCATCTGAAAAAAGATGGTTTGTAAGAAATTCTTGGTTTCCTAATTAAAAAAAAAAATCAATCCAATAATAAACTTCTATCAAAGGACTCTATTAGCTAAGCTTTTGTTTTCCAATTAATGTCAATAAAATATTCTTTATAAAACCAACAGAGATTACCTCTGTCTTTGAAAAATGTTTTTTTAGAAAGAAGTTGGAGATTTAATAACTTTTGAATGGGGCCTGTCATATCCCTACCATATCGCATATTTCTCCCAACATTCTGTTTAAGTAGAATATAAACTAGGGGGGTTTGTTTGTTCATTTGTTTGGAATAAAAAAGATGGAATTAATGGTGAGAACCAGAGGAGGGAAAGAGCAACCACTTACATGCGACCTGGTGCTGGTACTAGAGACCTTATTCTAAAGGATTAATATTAATGGGATGTCATATGCAGTAAGGAATAAAACACATACTTAATGAGTGTAAAAGCACTGAAATAAAATAGAGGGAGGATTAGATCAAGCTTGCAATTATTTTTTTCTGACAATAGCTAAGTTTGCAAAGTGCTTGAGAGAAACAAGATTGGATCATAAGGATTTACAGTAGCTACAGTTAAATGCTTGCAAATGAACCTTTTTCGTTTCAGTAAGTTTTTAAAGGATTACTTTATATTTAACTGACATACGTACACATATACCTAATATGTATATGTGCAGCCGATGCTGCATTATTAAATATATATACCGATGCAGGCATTATTAAAAACTGAAAATATAGCGAAGAAAAAAATGTAGACTGGTTAACTTAAGTGATATAAACTAAATTCCCTTGAAAAAGGACCAAAAATCTGATTTCTGCTTTTAAAAATCTAAGAGCCTGGTTAAATGGGTTTATTTTCTCCAAGATAACGTAGCCAAGTATTTCTCAATGAAGATAACTGAGGGGAAAAAAAGCCTTTAGCTAATAATGACACCCACTGCAGAGATCTTGAATTCTGGATGTGGTTTTAAAATGAAGGTCCAGAAGCTGAATAAGGACTAGAATCCTGAGTTTCTGATTAACATTTTGAACATGGAATGAAATATTCAGTCATAATTATGAAATACAGATATCAGAGATGAAAAATGCCTTTGAGTGGTCTGTTCTATCTCTTTGTGAGAGCAGGATTATATTTTTAAGCTGATAGTTACAAGTTTTTTTTCCAAATCTAATTTTAAGGGTTCCCATCGATAGGATGCATACCGTTTCTCTTGGAAAAATATTTCATAGCCTAAAAGATCTTCCTGGAAAATTTTATTGATTCACTGACATCCACAAATCTCTCCCACTTTCTCCCTCAGATGCACTCGTTTGCTGAAAGACAATATTTTATTTACTTACCTGCTTACTGATTTATTTAGTTGAGGAAGCAAAGTTCCTAGTTAGGTATAGGGTCAAAATCGGTTATGAAATTTAAATTATCATATATCTAAAGTCTTGTGAAAATTGTGTCCAATTGTGATTTTTTTATCTGCTCTGAAATCTCTTCTTAATATTCTGCTAGTGAATTCCCTGATGCTACTCTTGAATTCAAATATGCCAAGGAGCTACTTCTAACACCATATGTAAGCTGTATTTTTAAAATATGCAATTTTAGTCTTTTGTTTATGTAGGGAAAAATGTGAGTTCTAGCTCCAGTAGTTACATTTGGCCCATCTTTATTGCCCTTTGAGCTTACTAGGTACATTATTCTTTCTTGATTTTCTTAATTTAACATATGAGGGCACACATTGTAAAAAGAAGCCAAACATACTTTCACAGAAGCAGCAGATTTTTTACGGCGTATAGACAATACATTGCATTTTATTTTTGGATTTTATAGCATTGCACCCGTGTTAATTTTCGCTTTATATTTAGGTATAATAATCAATATTTAGACTATCTGTGCATTCTCTTCCATTTTTATTCTCGTCTGTTGCAAAGGTTTCAGAAATATTCAGAACCCAGACCTCTTTTACTACGCACCGTCATTACTGATTTTGTTCTTTGATGCTTTCCACTTTTCCAGTTGGTCTCCTCTGTCCTCGTTAGGTTTGTTTTGCTTAGAAATTCAATACAAAGTGCACTATGAAAACTTCATACCATGGTATATGGTTTGCAATTTGATGTGAAAGAGCATTAGACCTGCTCTTTGTGTTACGGAGCAGGTGTTACAAATCTTGTTATGGGGCTTCTGATGTGTGGACTCCAGGCTATGCCCTCCAGCACATAGTTTTGCTGCTTATTTTTGGGCTGCCAACTTCAAAGACTTTCTCCTCAAACATTTTCTCAAAAAGAAATCTGAACATGTAAAAGTTAGTTGTTTTCACCATGTTCTTTTGCCAGAGAGGTTTTAGAAAGTCTCTGACACTTAGCCATATTTTGTCTTTCGTTCTCTATATGCTGTTATGTAAATTTAGTGGGAAAGACCAGGTAAAGGGGGGATCCTCTGAGTGCACCTGGAAGATATAAGTTGCTATCCAGTATTTC